AGTATAATTGTAATTAGAAGGTACTATTTTTGAGAAGTTTATTTTTTTGTTGGTACGGTTTATTCAGAACGATAGTCATTCATTTTTTTTGTTAATATTTATCAGTTTATATTTTTAAATTCGCTTTATTCAAGATTTAAAGACTTTTTTTTGGAGAAGAGTTGTTTTTCAATTTGATATACGTTAATTTTAATTTAAATATAACATGGAGGGAGGTGCGAAGACTCTCTAAAGATGAATGCGTCTATGAATTAAGGGTGTGCGGTGCAAGAGTTTTTGAGCATTTGACGCACCACCAGTTGAAGAGAAAACTTGCACCTCTTGTATCGCAGGAAACTGAGGATTTTTGAAATCATATAACGGCGCTGGCTTACGACTGGACCAAAGAATCAATCTGTAAGCAAAAGATCGATTTGTTGGCGGATTTAGTAGAATGTTGAAAGCTCTTATGAGTCAAATACAGCAAAATGCATAGAAACCAAGCTTGTCCATTGAAACTATGGCGGAACAATATAAAACAAGGCTGGATTACTTGAAAGTGGCAGTATCCACGAAGTGTGATCGTTTGCAAGATATTACAGATACAAAAAGGAAAATACCAATTGCTAGTGGCTCACAAGAATCTTCTAATTATAAAACAAAACAAAAAATAAGACAGTATATGAATAAGTGATTTTTTTGCAATTATGCTGACGTTATATAACAAACTGCCTACACAAATTATGGATGAAGAGAAGTTGAGCACGATGAAGCGAAATCTTCATCCATATTATATCGAAAGACTGTATTTTGATGGAATATACACGTTGGAGGAATTGCAAAATCGATGCAGGCGATTAGAGGCTAATAAAATATCAGCGGAGAAATCACGTAAGGAGAGTGCGGAAACGGCGGGATTAAAATTTAAATCGGATTCCTCATACGATGTACAGGTACCAACATCAAGAAATAAACTTAGCTGTTGGAATTGCGATGGAACCATTCACTCATTCAGAAACTGCAATCGGGCAATATCGCTATGTTCAAGATGTAATAGGACGGGAACCCCTCTTGCTCTTTTTGTAACAAACCGGGAAACTCAAACGCGAGGTCGTAAGTCGTCGCAGCGAACCTCGTGCTCATGCCCTCTCATATATAGTGGCGAATCATGCTCGGCATGTGAATTCTCATAGATTGACTAACTTCCCGAACGACGATCACCCCTACTTACGAATTTCCATTGGTAACATGGCGTTTGTTTCAATTCCGGAAACTGATTTTTGTGTTAAGCAATATCCTAAGTACAGTTCAAAGATTAATAAATTGCGTCCTGAACTGGAAACATTTGTATTCAAGTACCTGGATGATATAATAATTGTTACGGAGGATTTCCCCTCACGTTTACGTTGCTTGCTACGTATTTATAATAAAATTAAGAGATCGATTTTTATTGTAAGAAGATCTTCTGATTTGTAAAACAAATCAAATATTTTATAAATTTTATAATTTTATCATGAAGACTACTTATGCTGCTCTTTCATAAGATTCTTTCTCAGATTGAGCTACCGGAATGAGTACACAATAAGAGTGTGGATTAAGAACATAAGTATTAGAGTTAACAAAATTATACGGTTGTTGCATTGAACATTCTTCGTCATCTTCTGCGTAAGTAATCAATTTTCTTTTGTTGAAAATAACCGTCTTTGTATATAAACGTTCAGAAATATTAAATAGTTGTAAATTAACATCCACGTTTGGTTCAATTTTTTTGAAGACATTGGAAATGTTCTTTTCTAATTCGGATATATCAAAATAGAAGACTCAACAATTCTACAGTCTTACTCATCGAGACAACTATTGATGATATATCATTAGTCAACGTCATCTTTTGAAATTAATGATAAAATAATTAATACAACAATATATTCGAATTGCAACATAATTACCTGAGTATACAATTTAATTAAACTTTGGTGCACATATTCCAATGGATTGCAAAACACAAGTGCAAGAATATCTGTGGATACACGCCTTACATTTCCTGCAGTATAATTTGTAACTGCAAGAGATCCCCCTGAATCCCGAAATAACACCATCACAAATCAAATATCTCAGTCTATGTGTGTATAGATCTTAAGTTATTAATTTCACAATCTAATTTTCTATGTAATATAACAGTAAACAAAATGTAATTTCAATAAATTTTTAATTAAAATCTTTGAATTTTTTTTATACCAATAGCTTTATATAATAGACATTTATTATCAATTGAGATGCTTGAATTTCTGCCTAATATCCAGAATTTCCTGTGTTCCAATTTCAAATTGATTACCTTATTGAGGCATGTGCGGGTGACATAAATGATATTTAACCATTTTAATTCATCATTTTTCTTATATAAACCAAAATTCGACTAAACATCGATTAATAAAATCAGATAGTTTCAAAATTTATGATTATTTCTGTGATAGCTCAGAATTAAATTTGTTTAATCATAATTTCCCCTTTTTTTAATCATGATACTAAAACTGATCATTTTCAATTGTTTTAAGTTAAGCTTCGATCAGTCCGTATTTTTTTGCTATCGCTGTTTGGAGATCTTCTAGCGAAATAAAAATAATTACGGAATTGTTTCGAAATGATGACGGAATAAAGTCGAATTTAAAAAAAAAATGTTTTCCTTAGTTAGACCGGAGACTTATTGAGAGATGTGTTATATTTCGGCTCGAGAAGTATAATTTACTACAATAATATGTATGTACTAAATACGAAACCAAAAATCTAAGTGCGTGAGGTTGAGAAGTCAACCAACTACAGTCCAAGTAGTAATATATGTACGAAAAAAAAAAGTGTTCTAATTTTATAATTTCTCTATTAAATTTCTTTTGAGAATTTTCAAAGCACAAAACCGGGCTAGCTGAAGCAGGACTATGTGTTGTATTTATTTTAAACGATTATTTCAAAAAATATTGAAAATAGATATATTTTTGGGAAAATTTTGTAGAAAATCGAAAGTTTACTTAACAAAATTATTAATTGATCGAAATTTTTGTTTGTATAATCAAAATGAAGTCATTGTTGTTGGGAATAATAAAATAAATGAATAAAATGTAGAATTTCATTTAAAATACAATCAATTTATTAAAAATATAACAAAAATACAATACTAACAATTTTCTTCTTTAATTTACACGCTCTTTTCCATCGTACACTGCTCGTTCGAACATTTAAACTGTGCGTGGCCACATTTTCCGTTGAGAAAAAAGTCTTCAATAATTGTTTTCATGCATAAAGCGACCTTATCCTCGACATCATCATCGTCCATGGACTTGCGTTTCAGCGAAATCTATTCAGTTTTAATGTTTTCTTGTTTCATCTCAACTTCCTGCTTGATCTCAGGATCATCATGATAATCAAATTTAATGTTAACATTATCATCAACTTCCATCTTGGCAACAAAGAGTTCATCGCAAACATTTGCTTGCTTAATTTGTTGAATATCGCCTGCATTTTTTTTTTCTATCCTGAACAATCCTAGCAACTTCTTTCTGGATCTCGAGAAATTCATTCTCTCGCACTCTGGTCCTACTTCAATTATATATCAGTAACAGAATATTGAGTGAGTTTCTTACAAATAATTGTATTATATAATTGAATAATAATTAGCAAAAAATATATATGTTGTATTTGTTGTATCTATAAATTCGATTGAAATACATTTTATAATAACCGATTTTCGCTATTATAATTGTCATTGTCAAATTTTCGTTTTTTTATAGAAATTATAAAGTATACATCATTTATAAAATAAATATGTTTTGGTACAAAGTATATAGTCGACAGGCTAACAATTTTTATAGGTCAACTGGTTTAGGCTCTGGTGCATCCGATAAGTTGTATCAGTGCAGCAAAAGGCACATTGTCGTATGAACACACGATGAAAGATGGTTTCGGTATATTAGTGTATGTACACAAGATTAACTTCTGCTACAAATTTGACAAAACTTAAAGACTGGACAAATTTACAAGAAATTTGTTTCTCAGGTAATAAGGGTATATAAGAAGGAAACTTAAATAGGTAAGCTAGATATCTATCTATTTCCCCGTAGTAATATTTAATGTTAAATAACTTCATTTAACACGTTGACGCCGGCGTGAATTACCGGTGGGTCATGCATTTTGTCAAAAAGAACATCAAATAACTTTACGTCAATTACAAACAATAGAAGCTATTACTATTCTTATACATTTTTGAATAATTATAAAACAAATTAGAACAATACGTGATATTATAACAAAATATATGAGTGTTGTATAAAATAAATTGCAAGAAACATTTTTAATTTTTATTCAATTATACTTGCCGCTTTTCAACTCCTAAGCAATCTAAGCACAATGGCATTGAAAATATAATAAGGTGTATATTATCATCAGCAGATATTATTTCAGAAAAATGTATTGCTAATTTATTTATTTAAATAGCATACATGTATAGCTTGAATATGCACAGTGATCCATTATTATTCGTAAAACTATTGTTTTGTAATATTATTGACATAGCAATAATATTATCCTTTTCTGTACTCGTCCGTTCAGCTTCGCATGTGCGTTCTAATTCCAAATATCGATGATAATTGGAAATTATATTACAGTACAATATTTTCAATAACTGGTACGTAAAATATATAACGAAATGTTTTTAATTTAAAAATATTCTAGAAAACTCAAGAAATTTGTTTTAGTACCTTAAAAATGTAATTAGGAATGTTTGCGAGCTGTCCTGAAAATTTGGCGCCCATGAATAATGCAACTCTCTTCAAAAGAAAATAAACGTGGAAGCAAAATTGCCTCCAAAAGGCTTTTTTCATTCATTATATATTAGATTAATTTATTTACTAATTATAATATAATATAATTAAAATATAATATTATACACACACAAATAAATTTTAACAAATAATTTAAGATAAATCACATTGACCTATATTTGTATTATAGAACAAAGATTTTTTACAGTATATATTATAATAAAAATAAAATAAAATCCAAAAAAGGTAACATAACATTTTTTTTCGGACTGCCGAAAACCTTATACAGACAAAAACCACTGAAATTGCTCATTCTTTATCGCGTTTAGACATATCCAATGATTGCATCAGTTCTGAGAAATCTATGATGAGGTACTGCCATGCTCCAATTATGAATTATTCCTTCCAACTAGATTAAAACAAAATATGTTGCTCTTCCATTCAGAGTAGAATGAAGTCTAGCTACTTACTTATTCTAGGTTTTGTTGAACTGCAGAAGCTAACAATAATAAGATTGGAATAGGTCGAAGGAAACTTGGATAATTAATATAAAAAATATCCTATGTCCTTGTGTGATTTGTGAAGATAAATTGGAAATGGCCAAATCTACATGTAATGGTAGATTTCTTGGATCACGTTCATGTTGAATAGCTTTAAAAGTACAAACAATTGTGATCAGGCTAATTTGATATATTGCAAGTAATTAAGTATACGAATATATATTTAAATGATTGAATTACCATCTATGTTCATCCCAACTTTCTTACACTTCATCATGCGACAGGCACGACATTGGTTCTTCCTCGTCTTGTCTATTATACAACACTTTAAGTCTTTCGCTTTACAGATGTATAACCGATTTCTGCGAATGGTTCTCTTATAAAAACCAGCGCATCCGTCGCAAGCATATATATTGTAATGCTTTCTAGAAGAAAAATCACCACATACCTTGCATGTAATATCCAAGATTCGATCTGCAAAACGCAAATATTTAAAAATCAATTCCTTAATTATGTAATCTAAAAATTCAGTGCAGACTTATGGGTTATAGCGACTTACCTGACGTAGACAATCTTGTATCAACTTCTTCGCTTCGCTTGTGCATATCCATATTCAGATAAGTGTTTGCTAATCCTTGTAAAGCGTACTACACTTAATGTATTTTTGTTGGAGTAAAAACTGGAATCATACGAATTTCGTTTCTGACTGTTTTCTTTTTCCGTTCGGTATTTAAACGATCTGGTTTTTAAAGTAGGGATTGAGGCCGCTCGGGATTGGATGGCGCTGACAAAGTGACTCCTCCCACATTTACGACCAGCCATCCCTTACATGAACTTTCAGTGTCATTCATAAAAAATATAATTTGTTACAATTATAGATTTGACAAAATGCATTTTAATTAAATAAATAAGTAGAATTTTCAGTACCTGCTCAAAACATTTAACACTTGTAACATTCTACAAAAAAAATACTATTATCGCTCAGATTATTCAAAATAAAAATGATTATAACTGATGATAATACTTAAATGGGAATACATAAGGACATTTTTCAGGTTCTAATAATAATTAATATATTAAATAATAATCAAGTAAATAAAAACAAACAAAAAATGAGAATTATTTTAAAATTTTTAAACAGCTCTAAATCAAAACCAAATAAAAATTTTAAAATTTAATCATTCCATGGTTATTAACATAAATAAAGTTAAAAGTACATTTTTTTTAATCCAGATACAATTATAGTAGTTAATGTTAATGAAAAATAACTAAAAAATGTCATTGAATAACAATTTAAAAAAAAACTTTCAAATGCTCAATTTTAAATTACAGCATAATAATATTCCAATATTTATCAAATTAAAAAAACAAAGAACAAAAATGTTCATTAACTAATAATTATAAAAATATATTACAAAAACCGTTGGTATTATTTAATAAGTTGGTATATGTAATATATTTTTAAATAATTGTAGATTAAAGTGATATCGTTTTTTTTTACTACCTTGACTATGCGGTTTAATTATTTTATAATATTTTTGACATGCACGGCATTCAAATAGTCGCCGAAACTTAAAAAAACTATACATTTCCTCTGTAAAATAAAGCAGAAATCCATGACAAATATCTATTAATTAAGATCAATATTAAATTGTTAATTTTATATATAATTTTTGTATTGCAATTATTAAGCATATTATTATTACCCAGTATTTACTACAATATAATTTAGTTTTGTTGTAGATTTAATTTTTATTTAATAAATGTTTCAGAATCAACTTGTGAATATTTTAAAACTATAAACTATACAAAATAAAACGAACATAATTAATCATTAAATTACAATTATTAATATTATATAAATAAACTTCAACTACTTCTCACCAAAATATATATATGTTAAAGCAATAATAAGAAATAGTTGAATCTAACACAGTCTTAATATAAATATCACGAGTATTGAATCTTAAATTTATAATTTGTTGAGATTCGTACTGACTTGGAATATGCTCATATTAATTCTATAAATAAACTTTAACTATTTCCTTCAAATGATAGAAAATATTTAGAGCTAATATCACATTGTCACTATCACATTATTATAAATACAATTATTGATTACCAATATTATTTAGATTTATACATGTCACTCAGGACATATTCCATTGATACTTGTCCTATTGTTTCCTTAAAGAACAGGTCCTCAATGACATTAGCTCGAACTCTATCCATAGAGTTCAAAAGGTCAACGATAAAGGTAAATCTATTTGTCTCATGGGAATAAGTTTATCGGATATATACATGTAAAGAGATATGTGCTCGATTAAACATGTCAACTACTTGTGACTTATTAACCAATCGATCCCCTTCTCCATCGCGGACTGTCATGAAGCATCTATATACACATACTTCTCTATGAGATAAATATTCCTGATGGTCTAGCCTCAGTTTGAGGTAATCCTGTATACACATTTGTATATTATTTATGTCCTCGAGAAATACGACGTGATTGGACAAGTTCATTAAAATTAATATCAATATATTGCGAAGCTCCAATAATAAGTTCTTTCCAACGAGACTTCGACAAAAAATGGTCTTGAATTGGCAATGTTGTTAAACTGCTCATTTTTTCAACCACTCTATCGTCATAAACAACAGTTTAGCTGCTCTCTCATTCAATGATACCTGTAGAGCAAATGGGGCAATTGGTATGGGTAGGATATTTACACGATAACGGACGTAAGGGCTTGCTGCAGCAAAATGATAAAATTGCTGCATGGGTGGAAATGGTATAGGTGGAATTAATGCACTCGAATAGATACGTTGCATTTGCTGTTGGTACATACAAACATATTAATATTAGTAAAATTACTTAAATATATCTAATTAAATGTTTTTGTCCATGAAAATATTGTAATTACCATCTTTGTTCATCCCAACATTATGATATTTTGTAAGACGACAGGCTCGGCTTTGGTTCCTCCTAATCTTGTCAATTATAAAGCTTTACATACGTATTTTCGATTTCTACGAATCGTCCTTTTGAAAAATCATGCACATCCATCGCAGGCAAATATGTTATAATGCTTACCGGTTAAAAACTCAAATCAAAGAACTATATACTTTTCATGTACATAAAGACAATAAAACTAATGAAAATTCGTTTGTTTCTGTTCTGAGCCGTGCTATCCTAAATATCTTTAAACTTAGACGTTTAACGTACGAATAAAACATAAGTTTTTTTATTTTCGTATATGTCAATCATTCCGAAATTCACTATTTTATACATATTTCAGGACACAAAAGGATTAAAAATTGATTTCTAATCTTTTCAAATTTAAAGCGCAGATGCCACGGTTATGATCATATCGTTAGAAAGATTTACACAAAAAAGTCTCATTTTTTCTTATAAAAGCGGTATTTTATTTTAAAGTTGTTGGAGTATTTATTAATATATTTCATGCACTAGCAAATTTGCAATCAATTATGTTCATTATTTATATTTAAAATATTGTAATAAATATAAAAAATATAGTAGCGATTTAAGATATATAAAAAAATATATAAAATAATAATATTTAAGAAGAAAATTGCAGAAATTCAATTATCATTATTTAATTTTAAATATTTGTTTTTCTTCATAACATTATAAAATGAATTTTGTCTCCAAGTACCTGCTCTAGAACAAGGTAAGTACATTGTTGTAAACCGAGAATATTTTCCTTTCTAAAGTTAAAGTGTTTTAGTGCTTGTAAATAATATCCTTCCGCACTAATACATTTTTTAGTACTTTTTTGAGAAAATTGCAAAAAAAAATATATTGTAAAAATGTAAAAATACGATAATGACGGTTTCAATAAAGATTAAAATTATTACTTAGGTTTTCTTAAGTGAAAACGCATCTATTTATTTTGTTGAAAAACTCTACTTTTATTCAATTAAATAATCATTAAATAATGATGGGAAACATTAAGCGACTGCTTCAATTATCATATTTATTCACGAAAAGCAATTAATATTTATTTACTATTTTCATTGGCTCTTTCGTTATTATAAACCAATTTAAATGGTAATTACTCTTTCCTATACAATTTCTAGAAAAATATAATAATGCCATACAAAGCACATTCACCCCTCAAAGAGCTAATAACTTAAAGTGAATGAATGCGCAATCAATCTGTTTTAATATGTATACAAAAAACGTCATTTATGTGCTTAATTCAAATTACATCCGAATTGACGATAAGAATTGTATTTGCCTAAAGACATACCATAGTCTTTCACCTTTCGGACTATATAGGGGAAATGGATTAGAATGGCTGCGATTGCAATGAGTTCCTCCATTCCTGGCAGGTCATTACAATAGTTTATGTTGCGGTGGTCGTGGCTTGTTGAACGGTCACAGTCTGACGATTTATGTTCTGAGCATTGAATTCCTTGTGACATCGGTAGGAATATATGGCTTAATAATACAGTGTTGAAAAGGCTGGTCACTTCATTATGTTCCCTTCTGTATCACGCAGAGATTTCTGTGGTATTGAATGGACGACCTATCTGGATCTGCAGTAAGGATATCGTGGTATGAAATCATGTTGATGGGGTGATCTGTTTGGAAGCGCAGCTGTGCCAAACTCGGATCGTCTGGGTAAGCGCCGTCTAGCACTCGCCTATTAGCGAGTGTGTGTGTACATGTGCATATATCAGCCTCGGCGGAGGAATGGGCGGACGGTAAGCAAGCCTCCTTTGTTGTTTGACGATTTGTAGGCCACTCCATTATCCTACAAAAAGCATAGTCAAAACGCAACAAAATGCTCCTGGACTTTACGACTCTCTTTCCTCTCGAACATCACAACACCGTCATCTTGTTTGGTTTATAGCTTAGCACAAAATATCAATTTAATTCAATATTTATAATGTATACTTTAAATTATAGTCCTCTAAACTAGGATAAGAGAAGTGCACAACAGTCATAGATTCCAAGAAAATATGACAAAAAATTCAAGAAAATAATCGCGGTCTTATGAGTTTGCCAGTCTACACAGAAATTAAAATGCTCTTGATTGTTACTATTCGTTGTCATTTTATTGGCAGTAATGTATGTAGATATTCATTTATATATGCTCATTAATTAGTAATAATATATAAACATTTTACTTGAATTCCTCCTTTTGATGAAAGTCGGCTATTACTATTTTTCTTTGAAGATTTGTCATGTGGATTTGCAAGAAGTAGTGTGCAGATTTGGACGACGCAGACAATAAAATTTTGGACGTCGGTAGAAGTTAAAAGGAGTCAAAAGGAAAGGATTACGCTACATGTACTGACCTAATCACAATGCATTTGCTGTATTAACAAAACACCCCCATTTTCTTTATTTTCTTTTTAGTTCTTGCTTCAATATTTTACCTGTTCTTTTGATGCATTCCGCCACCACCAAAACTAAATCCTTTCACTGTCGTATGTATGTGCAGATTTGGATGCCGGCTGCAATGCTCAGAAATGAGCGACCGTACATAAATTTGATTAACGTACAACTTAATGTGGTGAAATGAAACAAATAATATTATGATTTCAATTATTGATAGTTTATTATACAATATCTAGGCAATATGTAGAATTAGAGATCAGTAAAGTGAATTGAACTAATTAAACTATATAGTGGAAACATGAAATAAATTACAATAA